AAGCTTAAATGAGTACCTACTCATATATGTTTTACAAGATTAATTTCACTCGGGTACAGCTAGTAAATTAATTAAAAATGATTTCGCGTCGACGATCCTCTTTGTAGACAATGCAAATATGATATCAATTTATTTACCGAAGTGCTGCTTCACTCAATTTTCTGTCGCGGACATTACTATCGTGTCGCTCCCGCGAAAATATATTTTTGACGCATAGTTTTTCACGCCGGTACGGTCGTAAGCGGATGATCAGGCTTTTATGGAGTATCGGTCGCCAGTAGCGTGCTTTGTGATGAACCATCGATAGTCATGACTTTCCAATGCGACGATGCATCGATTTTTGCTGGTTACATGGCACCGAATTGAAACACCGTAGTCCCAAACACACAATCGCGCTGATGATATCGGCTGCATTGAAATTCGTGCAGCTAGTCGATGTTATCGATCCTAAGATGCAAAAGATTCTCTATTTTCAACAAATACCGCAGTGAATTGCAATTAATGTAACAATTATGTTTTGTCTTAATTTAACATTTTTTTGTTTTATAATTAAAAATAAAACTCTGATGTGCTTAAGTTTCCAAATGCTTGGAATCGTGAAATGATGAATTTATTATAATTATTGAAATTGTACCATCTCTTGACTGTTTAAATTTTATACGACTATACGAATTTATAATTCTTCAAATGTTTTCGGAATGTTGTTTCTGGTTTCTCAAATCTCGGAGTAATATTGCAATCTTGCAATTCCTAAAACTCTTTAAACATTTTATTTGGATCTTCAATCAAATCAAGAGAAACGCCGTTAAACGTCGTAAAAACTGGATTTTGGTTGCATAATAATATTTATTTGAATCTTTATTCGTAGATATTACAAAATAATGCGCTGAAATATTATTAATTTAAAAAGTGAGAAATGATCTGACTACATTAGTTAGGAAAGCTGTGAAGATTGTATAGTACTGCTTCTCTTAGTTGCCAATGGAAGTAGGGCGAATTCGGTGTTCCGGAAGCAATGAGTGCACTTGCATGAAACGGGCCGGAGCCGGAGGTGAGGTCTGGTAAGCCGGTACATTTCTTCAGGGGGGTGGATCGCTTTACACGTACATACCGTGACCAGTTACGCGGGACACGACCGATGACATAGAGCGGTCGCAGCAGTCACTCCATCGCGCATGCATGAGACGTGATATGAATTGCAAATATCTAAATGCCGCTGGTGGGGTTTATGTGTAATATCGGTGCGGTCTCTCTTGCCAAGTAGCTTGTCAGACCAACCGCGGAGACTGTATGCTTTATTTCTCTAAAATTCTACTGTGCAATTTCATCACAGAAGTTATTTCCGTTGTCAATGTACGTGACAATTTATATTACTGTTGTGAAAGATCATTTTATATGATAGAAACAATTTTATGCCAAAAGTTCTCTTCAGTCTATAAATTTATCGCAAAGAAGTCACTCGTAATTGATATAATTAGTCACGCTTCACTATTACGTAAACTTAACCAGGATAAGATTTGATTATGGATGATCAATCGAAATAAAGTCCAGTTATGGAGTATCACAATATCGACACATGGTTAATATGAATTTCGTATTATTTATAGCACGTGGTTATACACGATACAGAACTTATTTATAATATCTTCCGTTTCCATCTATTTTCCGCTCCTCATATTTTTTTAAACACATTTTTTTAAACACATGCAGATTTATAAATATAGTACCTACAAGTTAACTTAATAAGCAGTTTATGATTCAAGTTTCAAATTTACAGAGAATTATTTTGGAACATCCGCTTTGCACGTCTCTGCCCATTTTATCGTTACTGGTTCAGATGACCGTATTAGATATCCGTTGTATAGAATACGGTTAGTCGGATCATGAATATACTAAGCCCGCTAGTCTCTTCCGCTTACAGTTTGTCGACTTGTGGTTTCGAACTGTTTGATCCGCTCAAAGAACCCGAAGAGTCGAAAAATTTAGGTCAAGCGACTTGAGGTACATCTAGATTTTCTTTGGATTAACCTGGTGTTATTACAGAATTTAATATCACTTTTTTGTTTTAAAAGATTGTATCGATATAAATTACAGTCTTATGTAAAAGAAAGCAATTTTCAGTTTTATCTACATGTGTCACAATTGTCTACAATAACTTTGTCTAAAACAAAAATTGGACTCGCAATTCTCGAAGTTGTAATTGGAGTTTGAAATTTCAACAAGGCTAACATTTTTCACATGTGATATTTGCTCACATGTCCGTTCGAGTTTTGCTGGCTATAATAGTCTTTTGGAAACGCGTCTTCGGAGTGGTTAGGATTTTTTATTTGCTTCTCCGTCGTCGAGATATCTGGCAAATGCACAATATTGTCTGAAAATACATCGTAGATCGTGTCAGAGATTTATATGTAATTTAAGTGATTTGCACGAGAAATGTTCTAGATCGAGAAATTAAGTCCGTTTGCTCGGTAAACTGCATGCTCCGCGAGAAGCGAATTTCGCCTGCAATTTATTCGAGCATGTCGAAATCGGCTCCATCGCTCGTGGTCTTCAGAGCCACAATGAAGTCCGAATTTTCCAGCGAGATTTCAGCGGGATATTTTTGTGTGCGATATCGGCACGAGCTGGAACATTCTCTCTCCAAGTACTACTACAAGTACGTTCTCGGGAGTATGAAAATAAACGTTGGTAGAATTTTCCGTGGATAACTTTCTAAGGTGCGTGAGAGAAATTAGAAAAAAGAAATATTAGCAATATAATGTAATTAAATTTATTAAACAAAAGAGAGTACGAGCTATCACGTACGTTACATATAATTTTACACTTTCAATACTTTCTATATTTTTTATGGAATTAAACCAGTTTCCGCCACTATTGTTTATTTTATTCTTATTATTGCATTTCTCGTTTATTACAAAATTGTATTATTTGGAGATTTGTTGAAAATTACTTTTTCAATGAGTTCTCTTTTGCCTATGAAAACCGCGGCAGGATGCGAGCGCGTCCCCTTGCACCAACCTCTTCTCCCGGTCTGCCCGCAAGTAGGAACCGAGCCGGAGCTACCGCGACGTTTCGTTGGCCCGTTTCGTTTCCTTCCTGCATCTCCTAGTTTTATTCCCCGTGTCCATTCCCGCCGAGTTTTACTAGCCGCGACTCGAAAAATCTCGGCCAGTGTGCGAGCTCTCCGCCGGGAGGGACCCCGGGCGCGTTACCGGGCTCTTCCCGCGAGCGTCAAAGCCCAGAATTTATGACGGTCACCTAAATGTCCGGCCGAGGAGAATCCCACTTGGGCGTGTATCACGTCGGCGCGCTCGCGATTCTTTCACGCGAAATTCTGGCGCGAAATTTTTGTACGGGCCCCCGGGCTGGATCGCACGTGCAGTGTGTATGCGTGAATCTCTACTGACACGCATGGAATTACGTCACCATTGTTCGCGCGACAACGCGATTTCCCGTTTCCTCGCGACAGTCGTATCAAGCGTCGTCATTATACGTCGCATATCCAAAATGGAAAACATTTCTAGCGCGGCCGACACTGCCGAGAGATTTTTGTATCGTTGGAATATTACACGCCGAGAATCTCAATGTTCCCCGATGCCTGCAAGCCGTAAATGTGTCAAGTCATTGTTGCGGGTGTCTACGAGAATTGTCGGTCACCGATTATTATCGCCACGATTAAAGTTTAACATGGATACAGAAGAAAAATCGTTATTAAGGAGAAAAAAACAAATTTTTAAATATATATTGTTTCAAGTAACCATTGAAAAAGAAATTAAGAAATAAGATTCTAATAAATAAGAATAATATAAAAAAGTTACTTTATTAACAAAAGAGATAAAAGGCGTTAACGAACCAATTAGTTAGATGTACGTGCTAAGAATGTATTACTAAATAAATAATGCGACACAAACGTTTCGATCTGAAATAAGGTCGTCTTCAGTGCGCTATAACAAAAATCGTCACAAACTAAGTTGATGACATCTAGTCAGATAATAAAATTCGCAAATCTTGTATATCGATTGTGTGAAATTAATAAAAAATTGTTTGGATTAGAGTGATTGGACCTTTTTACAGTCTCTTGATGAAGTCCACCACTGGTGGGTCGGGCTCTCATGGTATTAATGTTAGAGAATGATGAAAAAGTGTGTAGGCTGATCAAATTAATCTCAAAGGGAGTTATGGTGAAAGAACTTGTGTGTCGATCTATTGTTATAAAGCAAGCATATTTTAATATTGTGTTGCATTTATAGAACTTTAGATTTTCGGTTATCAAATTTACAAGAATAAAGATTTAAATTAATCTCAAAGGGAGTTGGTGAAAGAACTTGTGTGTCGATCTATTGTTATAAAGCAAGCATAT